TTGGGGCTTTGGGTACAAAGGTCAGGGATCGATACACCAGCATTGGTAGAGATGAGTGTCAAGGCTCTGGGTACAAAACGTCGGGGGTCGGCATGATGAGTCTTATTGTTGAATTAGTATTGGGTAGTGTTGGGCCTTGGGGATAAATGGCAAGGGATGATACGGTTCGAGGAGTTAGACTTGGAGGACTAACATAATGGGATAGGTTAAAAGTTGCTTGGAGGCCAAGGACCAAGACGATGAGTAGTAGTTGAGGCCTTGGGGATAAATGTCAAGGTTCAACACCGAGCATCGTAGAGAAGTGTCGATGCCTTGGCTAAGCGAGGTCAGGGATCGATACTACTCGAAGGAGTAAGTCTTAGAGGAAATCAAGAAAGAGAACTAGTGAGTTAATATGTAAGCATGAGTTTGACATGTACGGTACATGTTTAGTTAAACTTATGCATAAACTGCTTCTTGTGATATGTTTCTTTTCATTTAAGGCTTGAGATTAATGATAAACTTGATATGTTGATTCTTTGATAAGCATGACACATTGTTTCCTTGATAAGCATGCTGTTTGTGTGTGACCCTTCAATATGGGCTGCTTACTGGGTACCGTGGTTGTACTCATCCCTCTTTTTCCCCTTCAAGTTTTGCAAGTATCGAGCTAACTCTTGGAATGGTGATGGCGAGGGGGAGACTTGACTAGAGAGACCATTTAACACTGTGTTGTTAAGTTTCAATTTGAATTGGATAGTTATAGTTGTTTATTTGTAGCTTGAGTATGTTATTAGATTAATAAATTGGTTTATTTAGTTTCTTATTTAATGGATGTTTAACGATTGACAATTCGTTATTATTGAGAACATTAATTTTGTTTAGCTACTTTAACTGTGGTGATATAATCTATTGATGATATTTATCCGTATAATACATTTGTTCAAGTTGAACTTGAGTTAGCTTTTGCTTCGCTGCAATTTGAGAAAGTTAGATTCGTGTAGTCGATGGTTTATGATTAGTTAAGATGTCATTGAGAAGTTTTATAAGGTTAGAATGTTATTAAATTATTAACTGTGAAGAATTTGAGTTTCGTTAGAACTTTAGTGTTGTTTGATTTGTTTAGTGCGAGTTTTTGTAAGTGTTATTATTTAGAGTAGTGTAGTGGAAGCGTGGTGAAAGTTTGTCATAGTTTGTATTTCTAGTAGTTTAATTCTCTAGTACGAGCAGGGCTTTCTAGGTGGTTTTAGTAACGTGCCCCATTTTGAGTTGTGTGAAATTTGGGGGCGTTACAGAGCACTTTAGACATAAAGGTCTCGTTTAAATAGCGTAGACATTGAACCTTAACACTTGGTTGTAGTTGGTTTTTATTCGAACTAAGGCTTCTTATGAATTGACATATTAATAAGAGACTTAGAATTTTGAGATCTCTTAGACATTAAGTAGGTGAAGAAGCATAATCGTTCAAAAATAAAGGGAGGTAATTACTCTCTTATCGAAAATTCACATGTCAAGTTTTAATATAGATGGTAAGTGAATGCCAATATCGTCCTCTGGATTGAGTTTCTAGCTCACTCAAGTACCACAAATAGAATCACTTAATTTTATTTAGAGAATTGAATCCAAATGAAAGAATATAAGCAAAGAAAATAAACACGCACTAATAAAGATAAAAAAAAATGGGGAGAAATCCAGGGGATTGGTTTTACCTATTGAATCTATGAACCAACTACTTAATTAGTCAATATTGAACGAATTATTAATTGTATAGGCCAATAACTCTCAAATCTCAATTGCCACTCGTGAGTGCAAGTTAATTCTCCTTACCAATCAAGAAACCAATATCCCTTTCTAGTTTCTAGAACAAGTAAAAGACTTTATTGAACAAGTCTTCTAATAACCTCTAAAAGACTTCTAAATCTCTCAATCTTAAGACCCATTTAGTTATGCATCCTAGTTCTAAATCTAAATCATCTGGCCAGTAGATTAAAAGCATTAAGCATAGAGAAACATAAATAGAATATTCACAAACATTCAATCAAGAAAAACTAAACAACCAATTCATAAATTTCAATGGCTACATCAACCCCTAAGATGAGAGGTTTAGTTTCTCATATTTGATGGAAAACAATAAAATTACAATGAGAAGCCCATAACAAAACTATAAAAAATCAAGGAAAAAAGGAGAAGAAATTAAGTTCGGCGTGTCAAAATCGTACGTTCCCGAAGCGAGCTCCATGATCCCGAGCCTTAAAAATCTCCTTCCTATGCTCTCCAATGGTCCCCTTGCCCACCAAATTTTCCAAAAACACAAACTGCCAAAAAACGCTCTCAAACTCCTCTTTCTTGGCGGCTACACAACTCTATTTTTATACAAAGTTATGCCATGGTGCTATATACAGGGCCGTGCCGCTACACTATTAAAAAAACGTGAAATTTAAACTTCGGAGCACCGCATC